AGATCAATTGGATGTTGTCTATTTTGATGTATGTAGCCAATTCAAGGTATCTTTATAGGGAGTTAATAAATATTTTTTATTGATGAATTCATTAGAATAATGTGGATATATCTAATTAAAACAAACAAAAAAAAGTATTTGAAGTATTTTAAAAATTCAAAGTAATGGCTAAAACACAAAGTGGAGTTGCTAAAGTGCATAGAACAGGTGAATTTACATATAAGGAGTTTGAGTCTTTTTGTGTTAAACATGAAATTCAACATAAAGTCACTCAATCATATACTCCTCAGGGTAATGGCTTATTGAAAGGAGAAACAAAATTATACTTGACATGATCAAGAGCATGCTGAAGAAAAAGAATTTGCCACATCACTATTGGGAGAAACTACATCCATTATTGTCACCTATAACTTGCTAAAAAAACATATTTTACAAAAGGCTAAATTCATAATTACCTAAAAAATTATGCATAGGCCAAAAACCAGTTGTGAAATGCCTCAAAATTTTTGGATCACTGTGCTTCAAACATATTCTTGATAAGAAGAGGAGGAATAGGTAAGATAAAAGTGAGATTCCAAGTAAACCCACGTATTAGCCCCTCATATAGCAATAGTAGTGTTTATTAGTTTTTATTTTTTTAATTGTCTTGTTAGTTCTTAATATAACACTATGTCAATCAGTTAGATCTTTGGTATTAATGAACTTTGATAATTGTTAATTTTTACTTTTTACTGACATGTCACGTTAAGTGACATGTGAAGTGACATGTGAATGTTATAACTTTATTTTTGTTGCATAGTTATTACATGATGTCAGAGCGATCACTATAACTTGCTACCATGATCATGACAATCACCTTCTTCAATTGTTTCATCCTTCACTAACCCATTTTCAATGGCTTTAACAAGCATAGTGATTCTACCTTCTTTGACAATCACCAAACCAAATGCTATCGATGTTGCTCTTCTACTACACATATTCTAGCAATGCTAGACACTTACAACTAAGAACAATGTGGGTAAGGAAGAGAAGGTGGAGTGAGTCATGGTGGAGATTTTGGTGCTGAGAAAGGAAGGAAACGTCGGAGGTTTAGAACATGGTAGGGGCTTAGGAGTAGGAGGTGGTGTATGAGGTGGAGTTAGCGGAGGAGGAGAATCAAGATGCGACATGACAATGGCGGGTAAAATGTTGTTTTAACATTTTTTATATCATTTAACATTATATGCTAAAAAATTAATGTTCTAGATGTTTATTAATGTCGAGGATCTAATTTTTTGACAAATTTCTGTATTAATGATTAACGAGACAACTTTGAAAAAATAAAAGATTAATATGTATAACTGATACTACTTGAGATACTAAGTTACTCTTATAATAATGGTTAGATACATACTGGTGTCTAACTTTGTAACTCTGATGAGTTATAAAACTAATGCAAGAAGTGTACAACTATAATTATGTTTAAATTTTTGAATGCTCCAATCTTTTGATGCTAAAAAAGATAATCGATAATTACTCTCATATGAAGCTGAATACATAATAACCTTTTATAGTGTTTTTTACTTGATTCACTGTTAGGTGAAAGATGAGTTACAATGCAGAAATCTACAAGGTTATTATAATAAGTTATTAACTATTAATTTGACAAAGAATCATGTGTCTCATGAAGCAAGTATATTGAAAATAAATTTTCACTTTATTTACGACCAAGTGAACAAAGGAAAATTAGAAGTATAGTCGCAATGATCCCATCACCAAATTGTTAATTTTTTTTTAACTAAGTCCTTAAAAATTGAAAGAAACATTTGAGATCATTATAGGGTATAGTTTCTTTTAGTGATCTTAAAATTAAGAGGCTGTGGTTGAAATGTAATTTAGTTTTTACAATTGGGTTATAGTCAGAGGTATTGCATAAATTTCTTCTTAATCTACAATAATACTATTACATATTCACAATCAATACTTCCTCTCATCTTTTGCTTTAACGTTATTTTTCTAATGTAAGAATCAAACACTTTCTTTTTTGAGGAAAAAAATAAATTTTAGTATTGCTTGAATTGTAAATTATAAAAATTAATAATTATATTAACTAATTATTTTTTAAAAGAATGTTAAATAGTACTTTAAGACATTATTAAGTAATAAAAAGAGGAAAAAATTATTAAAAAATTATTAAATGTACATTCATTATGATTTTCAATGTACTTTTACATTTTAATTAAAAAATTATATTTTTTTTTCTTTATCCAGTGCTCTTAATGCATTCATCAGGGAGATTTTTTGAAAACATGTCTTGGACACATATAAAAACTAATAATTTTTATTAAAAAATAATATTTAATGTTATCAATATAATACATTATGTACTATTATGTAATATTCAATAAAAACTTACTATAATAATATACATTAAAATATTATAATTTATTTAATACAAATTGAATAGATTAGTTTAAAGAATATTTTTCCTTATTAATAAGTTAGTTTTCATGTCGAACCCGTATGCTGACCTTTTCATCCTCATTAATCATTAGTTATTACTAATTATTGTTAATTAATATTGTGACGTACTTCCTTTCACTTAATTTAATTATGTGTTTCCGGCTCTGTGAAAAGCAAACTCGGAAGCTACGACTCATTAGAGCCAAAAATGTTTAGAGAGTCAAATTGAAATAGGCAATTGCAGTGGTAATAATGAGTTTCAGCTCTCCCTGTCCAAGATTACTTAATGATAACCACATTCTTAATTTCTTTTAAAAGTGAGGCATTCATTAGTCTATTATCATTAATTATTAATTATATCTTTTTACGAAAGAAAACTCATATAATTTAATTTATAATCATACTAGCTAACAAATAGCTAAAATAATTCATAAAAAGTTAATAAATAGAAAATATATTTAAAATTAAGATAAACTATATTAGTAACATTTAATTAATATTAAACATTTTAAAAATATTATTCTTTTATTTTAATGCCCATAGCGTTCTCTTTCAATTTAAATCTTGATCTCTCAATCAATAGAAGGAGAGTTATATAAATGATTTTGTGAAAATCAATTCTTATAATTAATTTTAAGCAATTACAATTTTTAATAAAAAATATTTATTCAATTTAAGACTTATGATAAAAATTTATAATTTTTTTTAAAACCTGTGCAATTCAACAGTTGTAAAGCTGAATTATTTTTTTAAAAGAAATCATAATTTTAGAGGCTAGACGTCATTGCCGGCTAAAATTAAACATTGGAAACCTCTTAGAAAATTGATCTCACCATATTACTGCCTCTTTTCTTGACTTACGTGGTTGCAAAACCCCCTCGATTGTCTCTAACAGGCAATTCTTATATTTGAATTATTTTTAAAAGTCTTAATTTTAACTAAATATATATCGATAAATATATAATAATTGCGTATTTTTATAAATTCATAACGTTATTTAAATATTTTTATTTAAAACGTAATTTTAAAAACATAAAAAACTATATAACAAATACATTTTATGCATAAACAAATGAATTAACAATCACCATGTATTTGAATTGAGAATCCTTGCTGCCGTGCCGTCCCCAATAATTTTCTCTGTAAAGAGAACTATTTATTAACAAATACTTTATGTATTGTACGAATGTCTTAAAATATAATTATAATATATAAAATTAAACTAAAAGAAAAACTATTTTATATAATAAGAAAACAAATATACACATAATTAATTTAAGCAAAACTTAAACAAATAAATTGAAAAGATAACATTATTTTTTAACTTGTTATAATATTCTGATTAAATTATTTAAATGTTAAAAACAAAAAGTACTTTCATTTAATATAAAATCTAAAAAAGTTTGGAATAAGCAAATGTGAACTTGTACGAAGCAGCTAGCTACCAACAAAAACTACCACTACCCACCTAAAGCTGCAAGTGTGTGTTGACAAAAATAAAGTTCAACTAAATAAGTAGCAGCAGCAGCTATGCAACACTCGCACACATTTAATTTAAAAAGAAAAAGCAGTGTGTATATATATATATATATATATATATATATATATATATAATATTTTAATTTATTTTTTGTTTTCTTCTTCCTAAGCTTTGAATAGCAAACCTCGTGAGAGACGGTGGCGATGTAGTGATGGAAACAGGTTATGAAAATCTCCGGTGATGTTAGGTTGAGTTGAACCAAGTGGATAAAGTTATTGCAACTTTTTATTTAAAAAGAGAGAAAAGCGATGGGGGATGGAAACCGGGTCCACAAGAATGCACCCTTTTATTTTTCTTTTTAGCATTTTCTTTGATTACATGGTTTCACAAGAATGATATTTTGTTATATATTTATATTATGTTCTTATAAGATATTTAATTTTTTTATTAAAATTATTTATTATAGTATAGCGGATTATATTATTAATATATTTTTTATTTTGATAAAAAATAGCTCATTTTTACTTTAGTCATTATAAAATCATTAAAATGTATATATTTTTAGTTCTTGTTGATAGTTTTATTTTATTAACTATTGCATGATATAATTAAATTTATGTCAAGTATGAATGATCCGTTTATATATGATGTCACTATTCAACGAAATAAAGCTAATAGAAGAAACGAAACAAATATGCAATATAATCAGAAATTAAATAAAAATTGAAGACATAATAAACTTGACTAATTTTTTAAAATTGAAAAACATATATAAGAAAAAGAAAAGGAAAATGGGGCGAAGAAAGAAACGAGCAGACAGATAGGACATAAGAATCTAATACACGTATTTGAAGCAGTAGGAAAATAATAATAACAATAAATAAAGAAAAACCAAAATTTGTAGGCTTCCTCAGTAAGTGCCTTCCACACCACGGATCTCACAGCGTGTAATGTATGTATGAGCTGTGTGTAGACGGTCCTCTATTTAAGCACACCATCTTCTCTTCTTTTTACTTTCTTAAAACCTCTCTTTCAATTCTTCTTTCTATTCATCTCTACCTAGCTACGCCTATTTAATTTCCTTCTTCTTTCTTTGCTTAATCAGCTTTTCTCTTTCATATAACATAAGATATCAATATATATATATATATATATATACATACATACATACAACTGAATCCTTCAAGCATACATATATATATATATACTTGCTTCTTGTAGAACAAGTTGGGTTTGTTGTTTAAGGCTTTGGTGATGGAAGAGCCGGTTGTGGTGAACAAAGATGAGCCTTTGGATTTGCCGCCAGGTTTCAGGTTCCACCCTACAGATGAAGAGATCATCACTTGTTATCTCACAGAGAAAGTGTTGAATAGCAGTTTCAGTGCAATTGCTGTTGGGGAAGCTGATTTGAACAAGTGTGAGCCTTGGGACTTGCCAAGTGAGTCTCTCCCAATAGCATGATCGATCACTTTTTCATTTTTGTTTTTCTCCTTTTGTTTGAAATTTGATGATGATTGATTTGATATTGTTGTTGTTGATTTCTGATGATCTTAATTTCCTTGTGAGTGATTGTTTTTCATTGATTTGAAATAGTATTTTTTGGTTTATTGGGTATGTAGAGAAAGCCAAGATGGGGGAGAAAGATTGGTACTTTTTTTGCCAAAGAGATAGAAAGTATCCAACGGGGATGAGGACCAATAGAGCAACCCAATCTGGGTATTGGAAGGCCACTGGCAAAGATAAAGAGATTTACAAAGGGAAAAACAATCTTGTGGGCATGAAGAAGACCCTTGTGTTCTATAGAGGAAGAGCTCCAAAAGGGGAAAAGACAAATTGGGTTATGCATGAATTCAGATTGGAAGGCAAATTCGCATGTTACCACCTTCCTAAGGTTGCAAAGGTAATCATACACCCTCTCTCTCTCTCTTAACATTTTTTTTTTCTGGATTTTGAGGAAGGAAAAGGTTGAGATTTTAATCATGGATTTTCTTCTCATGAATCTTCCTGGCTTTTAATTATCACTTTTTGGAAAGTGCCTTTTGTGTTGTTTTGAGAGTTTTTCTTTCATGTGGTGGTCCTCTAATCATACCTTTTTCTTTATTTAGTTCAGTTGTCAAGATTATAACAGTCATTTTTTCCTCTTTTTTCTTGGTGATGCTTTATTGCAGGATGAATGGGTTGTGTGCAAGGTTTTCCACAAGAACAACACAGATGATAACAAAAGGGTCCCAATTATTCCTGGCCTTCTGAGAATGAACTCAATTGGAGAAGATCTATTTGATTTCTCTTCACTTCCACCTCTAGTGGATCCTCCTTATAACCACACCTCAAACAAGCACATTGGCAATAATTTCAAGGACACTAACAAACCATCATCATCATCAGATGGCTACTACCTTCCCAACTTCGTCAACAACAATCAGCACCAGATGCTAATGATCAAGCCAGACGAGAACACCAACAACTATTCCACCACCAACCCAAAGAACTTCAGTACTAATACAAATCCAATGGGAAGCACAAGCATTTCTCTTTCTCACCCTCAAATTCAAATCCAAAATCCATGTTCCCCTTTCCATTTCTCGGATTATTATATGCACCAAGGCAAGAACAGTGCCAAATACCTTCCTGGGTTGAACAAACAGTGCAAAATGGAGCAGTTCTCAAACACTAACCAGCCTGTGGTCAGTGTCTCTCAAGACACGTGTCTGAGCAATGACATAAACACTGACACTTCGTCTGTGGTTTCAAAGCAAGAAATGGGAAGGAATAAGGCATTGTATGAGGATCTTGAAGGTCCATCATCAGTTGCTACACTCTCAGATTTGGAATGCCTTTGGGATGATTACTGAAGAATATTTGAGAGATGTGATGAAGAGAGAAAACATGTTTGTTGATTTATGGTTTTTATGTAGTTATTACATACCGTATATTTTCTGATTTTTCAGACAGTCATATATAGATGTTATATATTAGACATGAAAAAGTTCTTGGATACACATATACTGTATATATAGATTTTATGATTTATTAGATTATCCTGGTGTTATTAAAGTTAGGTTTTTATTTCACATATAGATCTCAAGGAGAAGGATTTGATCGTGCGTGTACATTTTCATTCGTTTTATATTAGTGGGGTTTGTTTTATTAATTTCTTCTTTAATTTGTTTTCAGTTGCATTTGTATAGTTCAAAGTAATTTTGTTTGTACTTTGTAATAATCTAGTTGAATGCTTCCGAGTACTTATTATTCATTTATTATTCTTGTTGATATTCCAAACATGTTTAATCGATATTTTTAGGACCCATTTCGGAGCCCTTCAATTCTTCTTGCTGCTGCACAATATATATTTTATGCTGTGTGGAATATATCTATGTGACATTCCACCAAGAGTGGGGAGCATTAATTCCAAAGGAAATTGTGCATTTGTTTTTTCAACTTTGGAATTTAAAGGTTGTGGCTTCCTTGCTAGTGCCTCTCACCAAGGCATGACTATTGTTGGCCTTTTAAAGTTTCAATTGTAGCCCCAAAGATACGATGCTCCTCATCACTCGAACCAAATTTCGTAAATCCTTTTAATATATTCATAAATTTCATTATTATTATTAAGTGAATTAGCAATTAATTGAAATAAATCATTGTTACAAAATTTCATAGTGTAAAAGTAAATAAACAAATATAGTATATACATTCATATATACATATTTAAATTATAAGCAACACTACCTGGAACTATTAATTGAATTATTAATTAAATTATAAGGGAAGTAATGGAAATTATTTAAGGGTGAATGTGAAGACACAAATTATGAGTGAGCAGTAATTAATCAAGTTGATGAAGCACGTGAATAATTCCCTGAATCCGTGCAGAAGATGCCTCTGGTGGTCGAATTTCCAGAATATTAAAAAGACATACTAATAATTACAAACTGTTTTTGTGACCACGATAACAACAATGGTGGGTTTCTTGACTGCCGCTTGAATCTTCTGTCCAAAGAAACCTAGCCACCACATGTCTACCTACCCAAATACACAACACCTTGAGTTGTTTTGTGTTATACCTGTTTTTTTGACATTTGTGCAAAACATATACATGTTTCGTACACATACGCATAATATACATGTCTTGTGGGTACAAATGTACCTTCTTCAAGCTATCTTTCAATGACCATCTATACATATATTCATTTCTGTGCGTACATATAAACGTGTGTGTCTAGTATTTTCTTTTCCTTCTTTTGCCCATTTTTGTGTATGTAGGTGTCACCTAGGCACATAATTGAGTCTAAAGAGATAAGGTCCTAGGAAGAGAACAAAACTAGAAATACATGTGAGTGTGCTAAGAAAGAAAAGGGATGAGAATGAAGAATTTAAAAGTAAGAGGGTGAAAAGGGGTATATATGAGAAAGATCATCATTTATTTATGGTATGGATAATGGGATATATGGGAAATACGGTGGAGCTGGCCAAGGAATGGGTAAGGGCATGCTATCGGATATTGGAAGAAAAGAAAGGTTCATCATTCTCGTGAGTATGGAATCTTTGGAGAGGGGTGGATTTGATAAAATGAAAAATATATATATAAATATGTTAATGCACATTCCTTTCCATTCAAAGCAAAGCGTCCAATGTGGTTTTATGCTTGCGGGTAACTTAACCGACCTATCATATATGTATATGGCTGTGACTTGTTCGGCTTATTTATATTAAATGCACTACTAATTGTTGATCTTAGTGTTTTTCTTTCCTTTTCTTTCATGGGGAAAAAAGGAGTGAAAATATGGAAAGGTCGAGAAAGTGATTTATGAGAAGCAAAGGAAGAAAGAGAATAATACTTATCCATCTGAAAAAGGGTGGAGAGAGAGAGATTAAAATGGAAAATTGAAGTAGTACACATTTATATGCTTGTTTCTGAATCAGAAAACCCTGATTTGTTGCATGAAAACATGGGGTGAAGGTTGATGTTGGGAGCTCACCAACCAATGAGGAGCCTCCATCAAATAATCATCAGTGTCCCAATGAAAACGATATCGCTATAGCTATAACCTCATCATACATGTCATCCTTTTTTTTCTAGAATTTCATGTCCATTCATTCGACTAGGCTTATATCAATCCAAATCGTGTTTGCTTTTTTTCTTCTCTTCCTATGATTATTATTATTATTTTTATTATTTTCTATTTTTTTAATGTTTTCTCTTAAATCTGTTTTTGCGAATTGTAATGAGGAGCTTGACCCCATTCAAATGTGTTCTAGAATATATTCCATGAAAACAACGGAGTTAGGTTGCCTCTCACTCAACTAATAAGCATATATATAGATTTCTTTAGTTTATGAGATGTTGAATAACATTCTCCGGGTACTCAATTTTTTATTTTTTAACATTAAATTGTAATTCTCTTCCTTTAAATTCAATTGAAATTTTTATTTAAATTTATAACTTTTATTTAATTTATGTTCTTAAGTTCAATTTAAGTTTCATTTCATTTTTTAACCGATTTTTTATTTAATTTACTTCTTTATTTTATTTTAAAGCTTTTTTAAAATTTTCTCAACTCCTAATTTATCAAAAAATTTTAAAATAATATATAACTTTTGATAAGGCCTTTTTATTTTAATTTTTTATAATTTTTATATTAAATTATCGTCTAAAACTTTTAAACTACTGTTACAATTTTTTTTCATGAATTATTGTCATTTATGTTTTTATAATTATAAATATATACCTAACAGCTATTGTCAAGTTTTGATCAAATCTCATACATTTATACACACTGTTAATTTTTATTATAAGTTGATGTTGGCATCAAACATCAAAATATCCTTTAAATTACTAAAAATTAAAAAGCTGAAATGATATTAGACGAAAAATTTGAAAAAAACTGATCTATATTTTTAATATAAATACCTAATAACTACTGTCAAGTCATAATTAGTAATTAAATCTCATACATTTATCAACATTGCTAACAGTTTTTATTATAAATTCATATTAATATCAAACATCAAAATTTCCTTTAAATTACTAAAAATTAAAAAGGTGAAATGAAATTAGAAGAAAACTTTGATAAAAAAATAATGTTTTTTATTAAATGCCTAAAATCTACTCTCATGTCATAATTATTTGTCAAATCTCATACATTTATCAATATTTTAAATAATTTTTATTATAAATTCTTATTATATCAAACATCAAAATATCCTTTAAATTACTAAAGTTTACAAGATAAAATGAAATTAGGAGAAAACTTTGACATAAAAAACTAATTTAGATGACTAAATCAAGTAAAATTAATTAAACAATTAAAGTAAAATTTATAAAATTTAAAGAACTAAATTAAATCTCCGCTTACATAAAAATAGACTAAAGTTCTTTCAAAATGATATATATGCAAAGGTCTTTGTTGTTCTTAATTTTTTTAAGCCTTAAAAATCTTTTGGTCTTAATAACTTTTAAGTTATCATTTTTAAGAGGTTAGTACAAGAAGATTTTTTCAAAAGTATTTATCCTACTTCTTTAGCAAAATTGTTGGTTGGTTCTTATTCCGATAAATCATAATACTTTCCATTTTAAGAATGTTCATCCTATAAGCTTTTATAATGATTTTATATAAATTTATTAGGCATTATTTTTAGGCTTAAACCTTTCATTATTATTATTTGACCCTTCAAAGTAGCTTCATCTCACAAAAAGTACATCATATAATGCTATTATCTTACAAAAGATCATTCACATTGTGTCCTATTCTAAAAATATTGATTTTGAAGTGCATCTTAAAATTAAAGACTTATAATAAAGTGGATTCATGCTTTCTTAAAAACACTTTATAAGGATTATATTTTCTTAATACTCTTATCAGTTTAATTATGCTTTCTATCACTACTTTTTATCATTATTTTTTGGAATAGGAAAATGTCATCTTGTCATCCTATAACAAACTTTCGCCAATAAAAACTCTTATCTCCTTATTTATTTATTCTTTGTAGAGAATATTCTTATTAATAAAAAAGTTGTAATAAGAACATATTATCGTATTATTATCACCAAGAATAACACTCACATTTTTTACTTTCTCTTTGTGGATAATTTGTTAGTATTTATCACAGTAAAGATTAATATTTACAAGTCTATGATTTTTTACTCTAAAAATCTTGTGAATAATATTTTTTTTTCTAAATGACTAGTATTAGAATTGTTTTTAATATACATAAATATTTGAGATTTTTTATTTTTAATGGCAGAACAAAAAATTATTTTTTTTTTATTATGAAAAAGTGTCAAAATAGCTTGTTGGTTACAATAAATTTTTTTTTATAAAGTGAAAAATTTTAGTTAATATTTTAATTAATTTCTATTCTTTTTAATTAACTAAATTTCTCTCACTTTCATTGTCTACAGTTATGTTTTATAACTTGGACAAAACATAACAAATTATAAAGAAAAGTTGCTAAATATAGCAAAAAATATGGAATTGGTAAGGAATGATTACACACCTTTGTTGCTATTAGCATGCCTCATGCTCAACTTATGAATTATATGGAGAAGGCGTGCTTAGCTTCAACACGTCTTGTAATAAAAACACACTTGATCCATCATCTTATCTGCACATTAAAATTATAAAGCTTTCATCTTAAGTTTCTCTCTTCATTTCCTTCTTATCATAAAGTTATGCTTTTGTCATAAGAGACTAGTCACGAGAGTTTTCTCTTTCCTTATTATTTATAATTATAGATATGTTGTGTTTAATTACTTTCATTTTTATCTTTATGACTATATGTAACTAAATACCTCTTTTATAAGTTGAGGTGAACTCTTGTGATCCCTAGCCCCTTCTAAACTCCTATTTGATTTTATATAATTGAAGTTATTTGTTAATTAAAATTATTTTTTTGTTATTATTTTTATTCTTAAATTAATCGGTCAAAGATTAATCTTAATTAACTAATTGATAGGCGATTGTACAATTAATTGGTGAAACTAAGAGGAAATTTTAGTTTTAAAGTTGAGAGGAACAATTTCGCACTTGACTTTGAATAAGTTAAATGATTTTAACAAAGTTGATGTTTCTAAATGCTCTTATTTGTCTTGTTGCTTGCTATTATCATTAGGGTAATATATAGGTAAGAAAATTGTCATTATTCTATGATCATTAGGTAGTGGTAATAATTAATTAAATGATCGGTAATTACTTTAATACAATTTAATAGAGTTGGATTGAAAAACATATAAGTAATTATACGAAAAATTAAAGCCCAAACATTTATC